GAAACTCTTTTTCTTCTTGGATTTTGAAAAAGAATTGTTGGATTCTTATTTGAACGACAAAATTAGGAATACAGGGGATAATAGATAAAATAAAGTTATTTGATTATAAGTATATTAAAAGTATTTTGATAGTCTTATTTATTGCAAAGTAATAAAATATTTACTGATAAAATATTTGAAAAATATTTCAGATGTATTGATATGTTATGATATGATTGAAAGTTATACAACTTTTGTTATTATATTATATTATTGCCTAAAATGTTATTTTAAAAATTATATTGAAATAATTAATTTCATATATGATGAATTTCTATAAGCACGAAATGAAAGCTTTAATGATATTGTTGTAAGAATAACTTGGGGATCGCAAAAATAGCTCTAAGAGCGGCTCTCGTGTCGTTGCAGTGTATAACTGGCAATTTGATGTCGATCCAGAGCAGTACTATATACCGAACTATATACCATTACCATAATATAGCAGCAACGACTGATACGACGTTATATATGGAAGAAATGAATATTAACACGCATGATTTTCTCATACAGAATTACAATAAACGTAAGATTATGATAAATAAGACTGATATCAAATAAGAAAATAATTAAATTTAACCTCTGTTGTAAATATTGCAAGAAATATTTCATGTTTTAGAGACAAAAGTCACACTTATCTTCTATTGATTAATATTCATGGATAATTTTTAAATAATTGACAATTTTTTTTAAACTCTATTACAACTTCAATTAATAAATTTTAATTTTTACATCATATGTACAAATTGTATGAAATATGAGTAAATAATTATGATTTATTTTTAATTAATATTTGATTCTGTATAAGATGGAGATTTAATTTTATCTTCATCTCTTGATTTAAAGTATCTCTCTAAAATTAATTGTAAGACTTTTATGACTTCAATTGTATCATAAAATCGATCGAAGAGAAGAAATTAAACTTCAACTCACAACTTCTTGTCTTATCGTAATAGTATCGTGTGTTTCGACGTCGAAACTAGGTTTTCATGGAAACGTGTAAGAAAAAGAAAAAAATTTCACGAAATGACGAGAGAGGAAGAATGTTTCTTGCGCAAGTGTCGAGAGACAGGTCCCTCGTTGTGCTGTTTTAAAACTCATCAACATCGGTGAAACAAGACAATGATAGATCGTGGCTTCTTACTTTCAATTACTTCAATTTTATTTTCCCAAAAGATGAAAGAAAAAAAAGACGAAAGAATCGTGCAGCAATTAATTAATTATTCAAATCACATCCTCTATCATTTTAAATACTAAAAAAAAAGAAAAGAAATTCACTATAAATAATATCGTATCCTGTTCACAATGATTTTGTTTTATTATCTAAAACGAAACACGAATATATTTAAAAAAAAAAAATATCTACATTTCTTTCAATCTAATGTCTCTCCATATAAACTTGTACAAATTTACTTCAGCGGTTTCTTTTCAGGTGTTAACAATGAGGACTAACTTGACAAAGTGATTCGCCACAATTGAATTGCGCAAAAGCACGAAACAAAAAGAAAGTTGGCCACGTTGTTAAGCGCAATACGGTTATCAAGCGGAAGAGTTCGCGAGAAAGCACAAAGCTCACTCACTATAAGCTGGTAATGAAGTTGGCAAGTAGAGATACCGTTCGTAATACCGCGCCAAAAAGCGAGATCAAACTCCGCCTTTTCTGCGTTTTAGGTCGACGATGGAAAAATCTATCGACGATTGTTTTAAAAACGATGGAAATTCCCCGTGTAACGATACCGTTACGATATTCGATGAATTTTTCAAGGCTCGTCGCTCAAAGACCAGAACACTTAAGCTAGGTCAAAACCTAAAGCCGGATCCACGCTTAACGAAATTCTTTTTATTTCTATTTTTTAATTTGAGTATTTATTCCATTTCTACGTTTAATGTAAGTATAAATAAATATCTTTAATTTTTGTTAATTCTAAATTCAGGGATAAGGCGAACGTTTTTTATATGTATGTATTATATTTTTATAAAGAGAGATTATTATTTTTCTGTTTCTCATTTAATTTGGAAATATTACAATTTTTTTCAAACTAAATCTTTTTAAATTTATGCAATCTATCTCTAATATATTCTTCGATATGATAATACGTATCAAAGAATATCCAACTACTCTATTTGTAGTAAATAAACTTTAAATTTACATTAATATTGTTGAAACACATCTTTTCCTTAATTATTCATATAACAATTGTAATATTAATCACGTTATAATTATTACATTCATTTAATATTAATATTTATACTTATTTGCCCAGTGTAAATCTGGCTTAAGACGCCTGTTTCAAGAAACAGGCAACGGGCTGAATTTCCAACAATTTTCCCGTTGGATAATTTGCACATCGGAGGTACCTAGTGGTGGAAAATCGTCCGCCTATAAGCCATTCTCTTTTCGTTTCCCGTCTATAAGCAGTTGTAGAAGGGGAAGCACAGAAACCAGAACGAATTCCTCGTAGAACGGAATTTCCGCGAACGGAGAAAAGATGGCGTGAACAGGCGAGGGAGAGACGAAGGTCTGATAGAGAGGCAGTTGCGTGTTCTCCCTCGTCTCGTAATAAAGCTCACGCGAACACGTTGTTGACAGAAAAATAAAAACCTGGCTGTGTGTTCGTGACAGCTGTGCCTGTCGGGAGGGAAATATCGCGTATCCTTTCTCGATTATGCGTTTACACGAAAATACGGGCTGGCAAATATTTCACGCGTGCAGGACGAAAATTCCCGAAATTGTTAGACACGTGGCGCTTTTGCCACGTGAAAATATTTTCTGGAAATTCTATCTGTTTCTTCGTCGGTACACACATCCAATAATTGAATTTTCTTTTTATTCGTTTAGAGAAATATTGCGATTAATTATAATTTATTTCGTTATTGAGTTGAAGAATAGGTAGATTGGCTTGATGTAATGATATTGATGAAAGAAATTGTAGAAGTTGTAGATTTTGATGAAATTGTATAATTTTTTTTAATTCTTATGTTATTTGTGTTATTTTTTTTTATTGTGTTTACTCTTTCATATCATTGTATAATATCGTCGTTCGTATCTTTCAGAAATTTATTGTCCAGAATTTTTGTAATTGTATAGACACATGAATAATTTTATTTTTTTTAATTTTTAATTTTATTTTTGTAGAAGAAAAAATATAACATTAATAATTGTACGGATGTACAAATATATATATTATACGTTATACTGTTGACGTAGAATAAACACAATAATAAAACTACACGTTTATATAAAATATAGAATTCGAAGATAATAAAACACGGAAAACAAATAAAAATAACAAAAAGCATCTGGTGAAAAAAAAATTTCTCAATAAATGCCAATAATTATTTTACAATTAAACTTCGCGGATCAAAGTTAATTTCACACATATATCATTAACAATTTGGAATAAAAAAGTTTCAATCAATCAGATACACTTTCAAAAAAAACTTAATATTATTTGTAATTTAAAAATTAAAAATATCATTACGAAACAATAACCTTCCAATAAAACCATCATTTTGAATGGTAATAATAGTTGTTGTTAACAAATCGTGAATTGTCGGATCGTAATTAGATTATTAACATTCGTTCGAAATATCAAATTTCACCAATCCTCGAAATGTTCAATCAAAAACAGCATTTGAACATTTCGCAGAATAACTGCGCGTGGCTCGTTCCCATGCAAACCAGCTCGAAATAATGTATAGAGCCATTATCGATGCTTCTCGACCGGCGCGAAGAATAAATATTTTAATGCTCCCGAAGTTAATCACCCGGGATTGGTAGCAATTAAATTCATCGACAGTGAAATCATCGGATCGGCATTGGATAACGAGCAGTCATTGCATCCGGTCTACGTCTTCCGCGATGAAAAATTAACGGATCTAAACTGCGGATTTTTCTACAAATATATTTTTCATACAAATATGTTACATACAAATATGTATGTACACATATGTTTTAATCATAAAATGTCTTTAACATTACATTTTAATCGATCACTAAATTATTAAAGAGTAAAAGTAATTTTGTTTCTGATAGGATTAGGTGTTAAATTGTATTGCATTATATGTAAAAATTATGTAAGTAAAAAGATATTTTTTCATTATTGTTAATTGATAAAAATTAATGTTTTTTATCAATTAAAAAGCTTCTAAAAGATTTGATTCTGAAAAAGTTTCAACATAATCAACAGATTTTTTAATAAATATTATAGTTTATTTGGTATTTTATTGAAAATTTACGATATATGGTTGAAATAAGTAAGTATTATTTTTTTAAAATATGATTAACAAGAACGAACATGTAAGAAGATTTCATTTTATTTTTCAGAAATATTTACACAAAACGTAATATAAATTTTCCGATTCCGTTTCGTCAAGTAGTCAAATGCTGTGCAATATAAATATACGATAATGTAAATATAAATGTGTGATGACACAGTAATGTAGTATACGATACTGGACTAAAAATATGTATGTATATTTTAAATACATCTTATGACGTAAAACGATCTTTTCTAATTTACAAATAATTTTTTTCAGATGAATGATATGAATTTATGAATTAGAAGAAATTAAAAAAATATTGTTACGAATTGTACATTTAATATTTATGTATTTAAACATATGAAAATTCATAGTCTACTTATAATATTCGCAAAGGAGAAAAGTAAAATAAATGATAAATAATGATAAATGAGAGATTAAAGTTACAGAAAAGAAGAAAAAGTTTAAATAACTTAAGCACATGGATACGTGTTCATATCCGGAAGACACCGGATATTCCGTTGAAAATCAAGAAAATTTACCGGTAGATTCTTCTCTAAGAATCTTTCCTTTCATCCTATTTAAATATTTGCCTTCTTCCACAGATTCCGATATTTTGCATCGCAAGTATTGTATCTCCGGATCGATATTCATAATCCAACAATGTAGATGTAAAACGTATTCTTGTATAAGAATCTTACCTGATATAAAGGGAAGCAATCCGATCAAGAGAAGAAGATCCATAATCTTGCCTTCTTTTTCCTAGCTCTACTTTTGTGTCATCCTCCGTGTCGAAGACTCGTTTCCGGTAAATCCACTGTCGATGTCGATTGCGTTTCGGCTCTAGCCGTTTCTTCCTCACCGGATGACAGGTGATCGAAAGATCCCGTTGATATCGATCGAGACTTGCAATATTTTCCTTTCTTCTTAAAAGAGAAATTGATCAAATAACTGTCAGAAATCCACCAAAAACTGAGACTGGACGAGAGTGATTTCACGAAAATTTCACGAAAAAGAAAATATGACGGGAGTTAAACGAAAGATAGAAAGAGAGAGACGAGTTTCCGCGAGAATTCCACGCGATTTCCGGAAGCTACGAAATACGAAAATAAGTCTCGCGAAGTATGAAGAGTCAGTCGACTACGAGAAACCGGTGAACGACGAGACGGTGTACGAGCGCAAGAGGTCCAGTGGACGAGAGACTCGACGAAGATGCAGAGCAACACGCGGTGTTGTTAACTAAGCTGCCGCTGTTCACAGGGCTGTGTGACACGCTGCATAGAGCGCGGTACGAGACCAGTTCGAAGACTGAGTACGAGTCCATATCCCGGAGGCTGACTTCTCTCGGCCCTACCAGGGTACGCCGTACAGTAATGCCCGTCCATTGCCCGCCTCTGGATAACGTTTCCTTCCACCATTAGGCAACACACGCGATACACGGTTCGCCGTGAGACACGCCGTGCTCTCCGTGTCCTCACGCGGGGGAATCGTTGCGGGATTATCGCGGATCTTTCGGAGGAGCCTCTCTTTCTCTCTTTCTCCTTCTCTTGCTCGCTCTCTTTCTCTCTTTCTTTCTTGGTTCCTTTCTGGTATGGAGACCTGGTCGTTGGAAATGAAACGATAAGATTCGAAGTTGGAATAATTCAAGGGCGAGTTTCTGAAAATAGATTGGTTCTTTATGCATTCAGTGGTTGAGAGTGGTATGATGTAGAATGAGAGTTGAAAATGGGTGAGTGAGGATGATGTGAAAATAAGATAACAAGTTTGAATAAATCGATATCATTGGAATAATTATAATTTGTTTCTTTAGAATAATTTTGAAATAGATTAGTTTTTTCGTATTGGAATTTGAGAATTATTAATCATTACTTAATATTTTTAATAATAATAATTTTTATTCTTTGATTCATAATTAAACGAATAGAGTGATTCCTATTTACAAACGAATTTGCGTAATTTAATTTATATTCATATAATTTATATTTAATTATTTAGATGATATGATTTCGTCAAATCAAAATTTTAATTTGACTCGTGTGAAAAATAATTGCATATTTTATTGTAAACTAAAATATTTTCTTCGTGACACTGTGTATCGAAAAATTTGGATTGTCAAAAAATTTTATAAAAAAAAATGATAAAATAAAAAATAAGGGAAGTAATTTTAAAAAAGAAGAAAAAAGAATTCATATAATCTTAAAGTAAGTCTTAAAAATTTTAACCGCAATTTCTAATCGATATATTATGTGTACATAACATGATCAGAAAAAAAAAATATATTCTTTGTAACGAAAATTATAATTATTTAAATCTAACGAAAGTATCATTTTCGAGATCAGATTTGAAACGAATTAATTAGAAAATTAATTAGAACGGAGCTCTGAGAAATGACTTAACACGATTAAAATGAAAAATAGTGTTTCGAATAATAATTAATGCTAGAAGAGTAATAAAAAATTTATTTCGCTTTGTCGTTTATTATAGTTAAGTTTTAATTGCAAATTGTATCATTTATATGATATACCCTGTTTTATTTATGTATTTATATAAATTAATCATGATCTTTGATTAAACTTGATAAAAGTAAAAAAAAAAAAAATATTAAAAATATTAAAAAAAATAAAATAATAAAATATGTAAATAGTAATTTAACAATTACTATATTTGTTATCGATTAAATTTATTGATCAAATTTAGAATATCATAAACAATCTAAAGATTATTATCTTGTATGATTCTAATCAAACAAGTTTTATTGTACTTCTATTATATAATTTTTTGCATTAAATTAATTAAAAATAATATAATATATATTAATATTAATATTAATTTTATAAATACTTCGTGTAAAGAAATGCAATAATTATTCAATTCTATTTTATAATATAATTACACATATATATCTTGGATAGAATACAGAAATTATCGTAAAACAAAAATTATTTGTCAAATGCAAAAATTATGAAAATTCAATTTCGAAAAACTATTCCAATATTGCATATAATGATTCACAAATAAATATCGATTAAATTTATAACATATGAAAGAAAAAAATTAAAAATAGAGAATCATAAATAAAAATTATTGAAATTATATAAATTAAGTTTTTGTATATATGTATTAATTCTATCTAATTTGTATATATATATATTAATTCCATGTAAACTATAAAAGAAACATGAAAAAATAAATATATAAATTCACAAAATATATTTTTAATAATACCATTTATTTATCAGGATGTATCATTCACAGAATTATATTACATAAGCAACTATTATGAATAAAAGTAAAAAAATTTATTTCTATTTTTTTATTTTATATATTATCCATATTAAAACGAAATTCAATGTATGAAATCATCGACCACCTCGGAGACGAAGTACAAGGTGAAGAGTCGATTCTTTTTGAATATTATAATCAGAAAGTGTACGTCCATCTTCCAATTGTTTTCCAGCAAAGATCAATCTCTGTTGATCAGGAGGAATACCTTCTTTGTCTTGAATTTTTGCTTTTACATTTTCAATTGTGTCGGAAGCTTCAACTTCAAGAGTAATAGTTTTACCCGTGAGAGTCTTGACAAAAATTTGCATACCACCACGAAGTCGCAAAACAAGATGAAGTGTAGATTCTTTTTGGATATTATAATCGGAAAGAGTACGACCATCTTCCAACTGTTTACCAGCAAAGATCAGTCTCTGTTGGTCAGGCGGAATACCTTCTTTGTCTTGAATTTTTGCTTTTACATTTTCAATGGCATCATAAGCTTCAACTTCAAGAGTAATAGTTTTACCCGTGAGAGTCTTGACAAAAATTTGCATACCACCACGAAGTCGCAAAACAAGATGAAGTGTAGATTCTTTTTGAATATTGTAATCGGAAAGAGTACGACCATCTTCCAACTGTTTACCAGCAAAGATCAGTCTCTGTTGGTCAGGCGGAATACCTTCTTTGTCTTGAATTTTTGCTTTTACATTTTCAATG